GTTGCATGCAAAGGTCTCTGGTCTCCACCCAGTAAATAGGCGTGCAGCTTTTCTGCTGGGCGTGCCCTGGGGAACAGGGCAGTTCTGAACAAAATCAAAGAGCCTGTTGGGACTTGCAGCAAAACCTTTCAAGGCCGTCTGAGATCAGGCGTGGGCATTCGCACTGTAACATTTCTGAAACTGGAGGAAGCAGGCAAGACCTGATCCACCCAGGGCAGCATGGTTTGTAGGGATGCAGGGCTTTCTGGCAAGTCTGGAGGGGAGAACTGAAAGGGAGGTGTGGAGAGGCCCAAGACACGTTCCTGTGAGGGCAGGCGATGGAGGCCTGAGTGGTGCGTGACTGGCAGTACCTCTTTGTAGAGCGGCACTGAACTTGGGCAGGGCTTGGACCAAAAACGGGAAGTGGCTGTTTGTTTTCTCTTGCCAATTATTGGTAAGCGCCCTAAACAAACAAGCTCGCAGGACTGTCCAGAAAGAGGTAAACGGCAAAATGATCCCACCCTTTCCCACTCAGGCCTTGCCAGGACTTTTCCCCCTTTGCCATGTGACCATTGGCTAGGAAAAGGCTGGATGCGATAAACTCTCCTGGGCATTCCCTCTGCCTCCAGTGCCAGGCAATTTTCATGCCAGCTCTGCAAATGGCAGAGTTCAGGGTTGTTTTTTTTTTTAATGATTAGCCATTAACTCAATAAAATAAGGCTCTCAACTCGGCGTCTCTCACAGAATTAGAACATCTCTGATTTGGGAAGCTCGAGACTGTTAATGTGCATATCAATTCCTTTTAAATGCCTGTAAATATGTATTCACCACATCTGCCAATTCAGAGTGTTTCAGGTGCAGAGACCCAATGAGAGCAATTACAGTAATCAAGCTGCGCGGTATTTGCATAGCATCTTTAACGTGCCAATCAACCACTCCAGGACGCTGTTTCCATAGATCTGGGGTGGGCCGAAGCCCCAGGGGATACCTCACGTGGTTCATGGGCCACCCGTGACATAATATGAATCTTCTAGAGTCATACCTTCTACATTGGTTTGAGCATATATTAATAGTAACTTGTTTTCAAATAAATGTGCTCTCAAGATAGGTTATCTCTCTCGCTACCTTGGAGTGGGGTCCTGACTCATTATGGCCCTTTTAGAAGACTAAGAAGCACAAGAGAGGAGACTGCCCATCTTTCTCTTCGGAGACACTGGTGGATTCTAACCACCAGATAAAGTGCCACCTTTGGATTAGCAGCACGACTCCCTGGGGCCTATCTACGCCAGTAGAGAGCAACATTTATTAAAAAAGGAAATGATCATCAACCTCACTCAGAGGAAACAAATGCAACTAAAATGAGACATAATAGTCAAACTTGTCAAAACAGAAAAAAATTAGCAAAGAGAAAAAAATTAGTTGGGTAAAAGGAGGCAAGGATTCTGAAGCTCCATCTAAACATATTTTGGACGTGTTGCAAGGAGGGATCAGTCCTTGGAGAGGGACGTCATGGGAGGGTTGAGGGACAGTGCAGGAGGGGAAGACCCTTAATGAGATGGATTGATTCAGTGATTGGGGTAATCGGGATGGGTGTGTTAGACACAATATGGTTGGCACAGGATTTAGGGCTGTTGTTGTACATAGGGTTGCTATGAGTCATAAGTGACTCGACAGCATGTAACAACAACAACAATAATCATAAATGCGAAATATCAGATAACAAAAAAGTGAGGAGTATTTGTGGTTACATCTGCAAAGACCCTATTTCAAAATAACATGATACTCTGAGGTCCTAGGACGGCATGAATTTTTGTTAGACAACTCAATTCAGTCCCCATAGCATTCTGTTTTGCCGGTCTCATGCACTTTACACTTTTATGGTGATTTGTATCAAACTCTGTCAGCTTTGTGTTAGATTTAGGGATGCCTTCAACCTCCCTTCACATGCCAAAATAAACCCCTCTACATAATCTCACATTTTTTCATGTTCTCCACTGGCTGAAATAGTAAAAGGAGATGGTCCTTGCTAATGACAGTGAATTGCTATTGTTGATTGCCATCGAGTCGAGCACGATCCATAGTGACCCTATGAACAAAAGGCCTGAAACCCCTCTACAACTACTGACATTTGTCAAAGTTCATAGAGTTTCTGGAGGCATGTTGTTTAGGAAGTAGATGCCACTCCTGATGAAACATACTGCTTTTCTCTCTATTATGGAAGGTGTCTTCTAGGGAGGCTGGTTCAGAGTACAAGGAACTAAACTTTGAAGTGGTCTGCGAAGAAGTTTGTTGTGCAGTGCCCTCAAGTTGACACTGACTCATAGTGATCCATGTGACAGCAGACCCACAGGGTTTTCTTGACTGTAGGGCACAGATTCCCAGGTCTTTCTCCCACAGAGCCACTGGTGGATTTGAACCACCATCCTTTCACTTAGCAGCCAAGCTTAACCATTGCCCCACCAGGGCTCATTGTGAAGGAGTTCAGTTGGGGAATATTAATATCCAACTTTTGTGAGTAAGAATTTTCATTAAAACTATAAGCTAAAGCGATCACTTTTCCCCCCTGAGTGGAAGGAAGCCAAAAAGACCCAACTATTTCTTAATGTGAACTGTAATTTAAAGCTAGACCCACGGGCTTTCAATAATACAGGCTAGTTGTAAATTATTAAAATGCTGGCTAGTATAAAGAATCTAGTAAAATGGTATGTTACACGATCTTACTATTCAGAAATAAACCCAGACACCCCAGTGTTGATTTGCTCTAACTCAGGGGGTACCCCCATCAGGTGTCTCAGTGCCCACCCGTCTTTCTCTCACACAGCTGCTGGAATACGCCAATATTTGAGTCAGCAGCGCAATTCCCTATGGACTACATCCCCAGAGCGCTTCAGAAATAGCTTATGTTACTGTTTTCAGGTCTTTCCTCCCAGTATTTTTAATAGTCTCATGCTGTATGTGTTTTGTGTCTTTTAAAAAAAATACTTAAAGCCTTTTTTTCCAGTGCTGCTGTTGTTGTTAAGTGCTATCGAGTCGTAGGTGACTCATAGCGACCCTATGAACGAAAGTGCTCAATAGTTGCGTGACCTTCATCCTTTTTTCCAGTAGCCTACATTAAATAACTGTCATGGCAGTTGTTACCAGTTGATGTTACTATCCCAGTGGAGGTGGGCACCAGGTTTCCTTGTAGTTGTTTGTTATGTGCCATCGAGTCACTTGCGACTCATAGTGACCCTATGTACAATAGGCCTAAACCCCGCTCTATCCTGAGCCAACCTTACTGTCTCAGTCACACCTACCCCCATTACTCTAGTCACGGAGTCAATCCATCTCATCCAGGGTCTTCCTCTCTCTCATCCAGTATGATAACATCTGGAGATCCTTAACAACATCTACTCCTCACTTATAAACATGGTTAGGTCACCAAGACCTGGTTATTATGCAAAAACTAGTGCTCTGGGGAAATGGATGGTGATTACATCATGACATAACAGCCGGATTACATCATTACACAGCTGCCAAACCACTGAGACTCGCAGCCCAGCCAGGTTGACCCATAAACTAATTATCATAGCCAGTGTTACTCTTGCCTCAGACATAGTGTTCATTTCCATCAAGTGTTAATGTGAAAAATAGTTTGTTTTTAAAAAAAAAAAAACAAACCACTATTGTTATGGGTCAGAAGCTGGACAATGACTAGGGATGATAGAAGGAGAATAGATGTTTTTGAGCTGTGATGCTAGAGAAGAGTACTGAATATATCATGGACTTCCAGGAGAACAGACAGGTTCATCCTAGAGAGGGTGAAACAAGGCTGCTCCTTGGAAGTCTTGCTTCATTCCATCCTCACACACAGGATTAACTTGTTATTTGTCCGCATTTCCCCACTTGACCTAGAGTGCAATCAACATGCGAGGGCCGGGCCGGCACCGCTGCCTCCTCCTTTAAGCCCCGTCCCTCACCTTCTACCTCCACTTCCACCCCACAAACAAGCGCCCAACACCACAAAGCTCACCCAGTGCCAGTACTTGCATGCCACCAGCCTTCAGTAAATATTTATTCCTTCATTGACTGGTTGTCCAAATATCCAAATCCTTTAATAAGCCCTAGTTTCTTTCCTAAGAGTACAAGTGGATATCCCATGGCAGACAGCCACACTTTGTAAATAGGAAGTCAAGTTTTCTAGAATATATGAACTGCTTGAGAATGGGACTCTTCACCATAAATGTGTATTACACATTTTTCATTTCTCAACCAGCTAAAATTAAAAAGAGATGTTTGGCAGAATCAGTAAACTTTACACTTGTAAATTTATAACTTTACATTTGCCTTTACAAATCTTCATTTTTAAGTTATGTTATATTGCAGCTTCTTGATTCCATAATTCCACAGAACTGAGTTCAAATACTTAATAGAATTTTTAGGTTATCTTTTGGGGATTATAACATCTTCTACGCTGTCTTGTCTCAAAACTAGACTTCTAAATAAGATATTTTAACCATATTATAAATAATTTCACCTATCTACAGTAAGATAGTTTAACAATACTGATGTTTTAAGAAATCCATTCTTACTCTATGTTAAGTACTCAAATAGGATGTCTCCTGAGGCACCTCATTTCAGGAAGGCTCAGGGTAGAACATTGAAAGTATTTGACTATTAGCTCAAAGCTTGGTGGTTCAAACCCACCTGGAGGTGCCTAAGGGAAGTACCTTACAAGAAATAGATTCAGTTGCAACTAGTACTTTTCATTTGTTTATCCTTTTAAAAATAGAATTATAATTCTATAATAGCCAGTCAACAGCCAGCAAATTATAAATTAAAATGAGCCCATAATTCATTGCACCTAAAAATTATATTTTCTGTTAGAAAAAGCCCACTGCCGTAAAGGCCCATCTTTTTCCCCAGGCATTGCAAGTGATTCAAACCACCGATCTTTTGGTTAATAGAGCAATACAGTATGCACGTAAAAGCCATGGTAAATTCTAACATACATACCTTTGCAATTAAATTCTTTCACTTACCGTTTCAAAGCCTCGATGTGGATGATCAGGAAATCCAGCTGGTTTAGCACCTTTAAATTCATCCAACAGCAAAAATGGGTCCAGAGTTTTCAACTGAAATAAAAAGAAAATTTGGCAGATTAGACATACCTTTTATACCACACCTGTTACTGTTGTGTGATAAGGTAAAATTGCCCCACAGAGTCACCTTGACTAACATTTATTATTAATACTAACGCAGGTATTTCTCCACTGGGAGTTTGAACTTCCAACATTTCAGTTAGCAGTCAAATGATTAATCAGTGTGCAACCAGGTGGCCTGGAGGGGCCTATGCCTCAGGGCTCCTTGGCTTTGGCTTTGTACTTGTTGTGATTGGGCACCTTCTGGTCAGCTTCTTCCTCTGACATTGAGAGGAAACACCACCTGGTCCTGCCCGGCCTCACAATCACCGCTGCGTCTGTGCCCGTTGTTGTGAGCAGTGTGTCAGTCCACCCTGTTGAGGGCTGACCCTCAGCCCTTCCTGATAATGCACCCAAAACATGAAACTTGGTCGTGCTGTCTTTGCCTCTAAGGAGCATTCAGACGTGGAGACTTTGGGAAGTCCACGCGCTGGATTACTGCAGAGCTGCTAAAATATGCTCACCAAGAACTTATGACATGAGAAGTGCTGTGCTATGCTAGCATGTTCAGTAATTTTTAAAACTCAGACTAGCTGAGACTAGAGGACTCCTTGAGGCCACTGCCCTGAGGTATTCTTTAAACTGTCCCCTGAGATGACCCTTCAGTGAAATAACACACATTAATAATTCAGGGGCGCAGTGCTTCATTGAAAAACCACCTTTCTTTGATGGTACACATGCAAAAAAGAATTTTAAAAAAAGAAAAACTGCCTTTCTTAGGCCAAAATGTCAACAGTAACTTCAGTGCAAAGATGAGAATACAAGTGGACCAGGGAAATTAGAGTCTTTGAAACAGAACAACCAGAAAGCAATAAAAGAGAATGTTTGCCATGTTGTGGAAAATGCAACGTCACTAAACAATGTGTGTAGAAATACTCGAAGGGGGACCTAATCTGCTATGTAAATTTGCAGGGCAAGTGCAACAAAATGTTATCTTTTTTTTTAAAAAAAAAAAATCAGGTTACAAAACTGTTTATTCTCCATAATCCCCATGATGTAAAATATACCTAGATACAGAGACAAAAGAAAACACCCACTGTCTCTATGGTGATTAATCTGGTATGACTGGGCTGGAGAATGATTCTTATCAACTCCATTCTTCCTGAGGGCAGAGGCGCACTGGGGACATAGGAAATTATTAGACTCTGGGGGGCTATAAAACATAGGTCTTCAGCCAAGATAATTAACTGGAGCCAGGTGGATTGACACAGTGACTGCAGCAATGGGCCTGAGTGTGTCAGACATTGTGAGGTCGGCACAGGATAGAACAGGGTTCAGACCTGTTGTTCACAGGGTCACTATGAGTCCTACTCGGCAACACCTAACAACAACAACATGGGGAGGGAGGTGCACTTGGAAGGGAGAAAAATAACCCCTTCATCTTCACTAGCCTCCTAGCAGGAATTTTACAAACATTTCCTTCCATTAGGAGCATAGTCAACAAAAAGTACAGCAAACCGCTAATGCCTGTGACTCCGGCACCGGAAGGAATCAAAGATGTTTTGACTCTGTCGAAAGACAGTCATTGCAAGACTGTGGAGATAGCGTTCACGCTTCCCATGGTTTGAGTTTTGAACATAAAATAACTAGATGAAAAACTTTCCCCTTATTCTGTTAGCTCTATTTCAGTATAAAGTTTTTCCTCGACAGTCCCCTGGATTTCATTTTCTGCATTGAAAATGTTATTCTACTCAGAGCAGGAGTGGCATCCACTTCCTAAATAACATGCCTCCAGAAACTCGATGAACTTTGATAAATGTCGATTGTTGTAGAGGGCCTCTTTTTCAGAGGGTCACTATGAGTCGTGCTCAACTCGAAGGCAATCAACAACAACAACACATGCAGAATGGATAAGTTTCATCACATCACCAAAAGAAGGGATCATAAGAAATGCACACACGCACACACGCGTGCGCACGCAAAAACACATTAAAGAACCCCTCAGCAGATGTGTCCCCAACAATGGGTCCATTTAAAGTATTAGCTACCCATGGCAAACAGCGACAGCTTTACTGGCAGGTGGCAATGTCCTGTCAGTGATGTGACCTAGCAGAATATGACACCTCATCCACCTGCCTCCCCCCAGTGTCCAAGGTGCACCGAGCCTTTGCACTAATCCTCTGTGTGTGTCCTTTGGAAAGCGATGTTTGATGGACCTCTAGAGACATAATCAGGTAAACAGGAAGCTAGTGGTGTGAAGAGAAATGAGAAGGGCCCAGCTGTGGGAGGCCTCTTGGGGTTGTTGTGGAGATGGGGTGACTGTTCTCTCTCTGCTTTGGAAGTCACGCAGCAGGGCCAAACTTGTGAGGAAAGTCAGGAGTTTTTAAAGCCCAATCAATCACTTTTAAATATTTGGGTGTTTGGTTTGGTTTGGTTTGGTTTGTTTTTGGGAGAAATGACCTTTATGGAATAGGTGGTATAAAGCGGAGATCTAGTAATCAAGCCCTTTGAGAGAATGTAACAGTGAGATGAGAGACAAGCCACCTCACTCACATCTGAAAGGGCAATCCATTTCCCTACTGCATCTCCCAGGAGCCGTGGTAGTACAGAGGTTGAGCACTTGGCTGCTGACTGGAAGGCAGGGGTTTAGATTCGCCATCCCTTCCACAGGACAAAGGTGAGGCAGGCCACTTCCTTCCTGAAGGAAGGCTGCTGTCATTAGGTGCCTTCAGTGGATTTCAACTCATAGCGACCCTACAAACAGTGGACCAGAGAGCTGCCCTGTTTATCCTGTGCCATCCTCCTGATGTCCGAGCTACTGTGTCATTCCATCTTTTTGTGTGTGTGTGTGTGTGTGTGTGTGTGTCATTCCATCTTGTTGAGGGGCCTCCTCTCTTTCTCTGACCCCCCGCCTTTCCTAGCATGATGTCCCTCTCCAAGGACGGGTCCCTCCTGACAACATGCCCAAAGGATGTGAGACCAGCTTTCACTGTCCTTGACTCTAGGAAACAGTCTGGGGCCGCACTTCTTCCTGTTTGATTTTCTTTAATTTTATTTTTATTTTATTATTTTTTGTGTGTGTGTACCGTCAAATCAGATCTGACGGGTACAGGAAGAGGATATTGCCCCTCCTCCTCCAGCAGAGCACCTGGTGGACTTGAACCACGTGCCTCTGGGATTGCAGTGCAGCTTTTTGCCACTAGGCCACCAGAGCTCCCTTCCTCCTGTTTGATTTTTAACTGCTCCCGGTGTACTCAGTACTCTTCGCCAACCCCACATAACCCGCCCCCCATTCTTCTCTGATCTTATTCATTGCCCAGCAGCCTTGGGAAGCATAGCGGACAGTCCTACCCTGTCCTATGTCTGAATCAGTAACACAATAACAACAAAAGCAATGCATCTTCTTTTGTTCAAATACGTTTTTCTGGAATCCAGTATGGTGCCATCTCTGTACTTCTAGGACTCTGGTCGCCATTAGTCATCCTCAGCTTGTGCAATCAGTTCAGTCACTAACAGGAAAGTTGAGTTCAAACCCACCCAGTGGCAGATGATGTGAGGCAGCTTTATCTCTAGGACCTGAGGCTGCTATGAGTCAACGTTGACTTGGGGTATATTTTCCATTCAGATAGCCTTTCGTCCATGGAGAATTTCTTTCCCATTGGTCCCAAGGTTCAAATGGGGGAAAAAAGTTCTCTAACAACAACAGCATTACTGAAAGACGTGTGCTTGGCCAAAACCAAGCGCCCTCTCAGGGCTCTGCCAGCCTCTGCTCCCCAGGGCTTTACCGGGTTGGGTCTCTGATTCCAAAATCTCAGCCATGTTGGACCGACCAGCCAGGGCTGGAGACCAAACCCAGCCAAGTTAGCCCATCTCTCTCCTGGGGATGTGGAATTGGAACCCACAGTTCCTCCTTGGTGCTTTAAGCTGTGGGTGGGCCAATCTGGAGACTAGCAGAGAGCAGGTGGTCCTGGAACAGGTGGAGGGCAGAGACACCCCCTCCCCCAACACTTTTCCCATGAAGCTCGGCTGCACTTCAGCCCAGAAGCCCATCATTCACACTCCAGAAACCCCATCTAAGCCTGAGGCTGGTCTCTGTGCGGTTCCACTCGCTCAGTTCTGAGTTCGCCCCTGTAGCACCCCGAGGAGCAGCTCAGGACCGCCGGGGTCCTCTCATCCCAACTCACCTTCAGCGTCCTCCAGACCCTGCCAGGAAGAAAGTATGAAACAGCCCCTCCTCATCCCCCCATGCAGCATACCTCAGGTCTGCCGATGCTCCTGTGGACCCGCGCTCCGACCCCTTCCGACTGCTCCCGGCTGGGCACCGACAGGGTAACCTTCTTGGAAGAGCTCATGACGAAGGCTTTGCTGACACAACGTCTGGATGCTGAGCTGTTAGAGGGCAGAGTGGGCACAACAACAGCAACAACAAAAGAGACATCAGAAAGGGGAGGGTACTTCACCAAAGAAGACATTCAGATGGCCAACAAGCACATGAAGAAATGTTCAAAATCCCTACCTCTAAGAGAGACGCAAATCAAAACAACTATGAGGTATCATCTCACCCCAGTTAGAATAGCAAAATTTAACAGAACAGCAAGCAACAAATGCTGGTGAGGTTGTGGAGAAACTGGAACCCTTATTAACTGTTGGGAGTGTAAAATGGTGCAACCACTGTGGAAGGTGTTAAGGCACTTTCTCAAAAAGTTGCAAATAGAGATATAATACTGACCTCGGGGTTGGGGGAAGACTGAGAAAGATGGGTTCAATAATGTATACTACATTGAAACAGATGAGGGAGAAAACTGTTTAAAAGGGATAGGTGATTAGGCATTTTTGTCATGACAGGAGTCCAGAGCGAAGGCTGCATAGTGGAGTGGACCTGGGGGGAAGGATTGTAAAACAATGAAAGAATTCTTCTTTTACTTTTCCAAGAGGGTAGTGTACTAGGGGGGAGGGTTGGGAGGGGAGAAAAGTGCAACAATGAATGAATGGAAATTCAAAGTCTCTGTAAATTTTCATTGAAATTAATAATTTAAAAGAAAATAAAGGGGAGGCATCCAAGAACTGAAAAATCAGGCTAAGCCTCTCATTGTACCATCTACAGTTCCTTGAATGTTTCCTGTGAAGAGGGTCCTGAGCTCAGATGACAATGACAGAGAACACGTCAGTCCTTCCAAGGGGTCAGGTGTCCCAGGGGCCTTTACAGTTGTGTCTCCGGCAATTGTACAGCCTTCTCAATCAAGGTCTGGTAGCAACAGTCCTGTTTACTACCAACCTCCATGGAGCACGCTCTTAGCCTCGCTCAGGGACCTACCAAGAGCCCCTCGCCATCCCTCAACCCCCACTGGTTATCCAGTGACTCTGAGAGATGTGGGGGTTCCGATAGACACGAAATAGAGAAAAAGCAAATGGAGCATGGCTCTCATTGAACAAAGACCCACCCCAATACTGTCAATTAGATTGCAACTCATGGGGACCCCATTAGGCAAAGCAGAATTGCCCCATAGGGTTCCCAAAGCTGCCGTCTTGAGCAGACTGCATCATCTTTCCGAGTGGGATGGTAGGTTCAAACCACCAATCTTAGGTTTAAGCACTTAAGCACTACATGTTTTCCATGGCCCTCACTGGGGCATGCCATAGATCTGGGTGTTGAAAACAATCCTTGCGAGTCATGCAAGTCAAAGATTCATCTATCCTTGAAGTCCAAGGCCTATTTTTCTGGAAGGGACTCGGCTTTCTCCTGAAGCTCTCTAGCGTGTGGGCAACACAGGGGAAGCCACGCTTGGCAGTGCATCGCTCCTTGAGGACTCAGCCACAGCCCAGGCCCACTACTTAAGAGGGTTTCCACTGGGGAGTCTTTATTTTATTTTATTTTTTTGTGTGTGTACCATCAAATTGGATCTGACAGGTACAGGAGGAGATTGCCCCTTTTTCTCCAGCAGAGCATCTGGTGGATTCGAACCGCGTACCTCTGGGATTGCTCCACTGGGAAGTCTTAAGTAGAATATCACAGAACAGGTGCAATGCTTTTCCCATCTCAAAGGTTTGCAGAGTCCGTGGGGTCGATCTAGGGGGTTCAGTTAAAATGTGTTTGGCTGCAAACCAAAAAGTTCATGGTTCAAGTTGAACAAGACAATCCCGGTGGTTTACTCCGGGGGAGGGGGGGAAAGTCAGCCATTGAAAACTGTTAATGGGTGTCTACTCGGACACACACAAGGAAGACCATCTCATCTCCCCTTCAAATGGCATCTAGCCAGCGCCTTCAAAAATGCTTGCTGAGACCCAGAGAGGGGCTTGGAGCAGCACCCGCAAGAGCCAGCCAAGGCCAGGGTTGCATGGCAGCATCACCATATACGAACTGTGGAGTCCGAGATCACTTGCTAAGCTGCTCTGTGCCTCCATTTTCCCCATCTGTAAAATGGGGGCCACTGCACTGACAGTCTCAAAAGACGTGAATGTTAATTAACTGGTTGGACGTGCAGCAAGGAAAACCTATTCCTTGGAAAGGGACATCATGCTTGGAAAGGTGGAGGGTCAGTGAAAGAGATGAATTGGCCCAGTGACTGCAGCAATGGGCTCCAGTGTGTCAGAGATGATGAAGATGGCACAGGATAGGACAGGGTTCTGATCTAATAACAATAACTACTCCACTATCCACCAAGGCGTAGCCTAAAAATAGGCAACTTGGCGAAGGTTAACACATGGTTGCCAAATTGAAAGCCTGGCTTATTTGAACCCACTCTTTGGCTCAGCGAGAGAAAGAGCTGGCGATCTACTTTTTCCGACTCTGCCTTCCCTCGGATTTACTGCAGCTGTGGCTCATTACAGGCGGAAGTGCCCATCTTTCTCCCACCAATCGATTGGTGGATTCAAACCACCAACCTGTTGGTTAGCAACCAGATACACCACTAGGGCCTAGGAAACTCTGTGAGATAGTTCTCCTCTGTCATTTGGGGTCACTGAGTCGGAGTCAACTTCAGGGTACCCAACCACACAGCTGTGTTTTGAGGATGGAACCCAGAGCACAAAAATGGGCTTATTACTCAAAGCGGGGCAGACGTGTCATCACCTCCACAGAAGCGTCTAAAATCTATCTACTCCCACATGGACTCTCCGTGGGTCCTTCCTGCATCCTACAAGCCCACGCTCTGCGCTAAGTCACCGGGTGCCTCCGTGCCCTGCAGGAGGCAAGCCCCCCTCCATCTTCCCGCACTGCACCTCGCACCCCCTCTCTGCGAGTGACCCCCGGGCTGGGGAGAGCCTACACCCTGCCCCCCCCCCACACACACACAGAGCCCGAGCGCGCGGTACTCACGGCGGGCGGCGGGCGACCGTGCAGCCTGCAGGAGGAGTGAGGGTGCAGGCGGGGCGCGGGAAGCTGCGGACGGGGAGAGGCAGGGCTGAGGCCGGTGCCTCCTCACCGTGACTCAGCGCTTCCCAGTGGCGGCGGGAGGCAGAAGCTGCCGGATTTGGGGGCCTGGGCCGGGGCGGCCACTCCCAGCCTCTCTGCCTTCCCTACCGAGAGCACTCCCTCCAGGCGCAGGGTGGAGGGCGGGGAAGGGAGGCTAAGACAGGCCGGAGGGACCCCTGGGAAACATGGCTTTAACTGGCGTCTACTTGTCTCCTAAGGAGCCCTCAGGCACAGTGGTTAAGCCCTTAGCTCCTGTGTGGAAAAATGGGTGTTTGGTTTAAACCCACCCGGGGTGAGGGGCTCAAGGGAGTGGATGCTCAGCTGGAGAAAGAGCTAGTGAGCTCCTCCTCAAAGGATTATTGTTGTTAAGACTCCTACTCACAGTCACCCTGCGAACAATGGTTCTGAACCCTGTCCTGTCCTGTGCCATTCTCATCACCCCGGAACTGCTCGAGCCCACCTGACGGGCACTGTGTCATTCCATCTGGTTGAGGGTCTTCCTCTCTTTTGCTGACCCTCCACCTTTCTGAGCATGATGTCTCCTTCCAAGGACTAGGCCTTCCTGGCAACATGTCCAAGGTATGAGAGCGGAAGCTTTGCCGTCCATGCCTCTCAGGAGCACGCTGGCTGCTCAGCACACTTTCTCCAAGACGCACCTGTTCTGACCCACAGCGCAGTAGACGCGATGGAAACAGATATTAAAGAGAAGGTACACTCCAGTGGGGACACATTTGGTTAAGAGCTTCCACGTTGTCAGGGTGCCTTGGGCAGGCATTGAGAGTTCCCAGAGAGGTGGGAGGAGCCAGGGGGACGAGTTCATCACTGGGGTTGTCACCCCAGGCAGATAGAGTTTCGGGTATCTGTTTTCTCAACAATGAAATGAAAGACAATGGAGCCTCTGAAACAGGAGTCCGTAAACTTAGTCAAGTGGCATTTCTGGACTTTGTGGGCCATGGGGTCTCCATCCAGACGACTCTGGTCTTCTTCAACCTTTGTGGCAACAGATAATACATAAATAAATGGGAGGGAACAGTGTTCCAATAAAACTTTTATGGCAACTAAAGCGATCATCTCATGTGACTTTCATTCCTCTTTTCCTCACCCTCCTCCTGCCCAGTTCAAGACGAGAAAGCCATTTTTAGCCCCCAAGCTGTAGAAAGAATGGGCAGTGAGTGGTCCAGATTCGGCTGCAGATCCCTCTTCCTAAAGACAAAGTAGCCCTGGTGGCACATTGATTGAGCTCTAGGCTGCTAGCCGAAAGGTGAGTGGAGAAAGGCGTAGCAGTCAGCTTCCATAACGAATTACAGCCCCAGAAACCCTATAGGCTGTTCTGCTCTCTCCTACAGGGTTACTATGGGCTGGAGTTGACTTCGCCACAGCAGACGTCATCACTCAGTGTTGTTGAGTGGGAACTGATCGAGTGGACTGGCCTTTGGGTTAGCAGTGCACCTATTCACTATGCCACTAGAGGCACAAGAACCCTTCTCAGGATGCCTCATGCAGGTGGGGCTCAAATTCACTCTCCCCTCCATCCAGGTTGCAAGCCAGTAAACCTCTGTGGAAAGAGACAGCCCATAGCAAGTGATGGAAAAGACCATGCATGGCTTGAAGCAGGCATACCTTAGTCTTCAAACTGACATCATTGCTCCTCAGTAATTTGGAGAGGTCCATGACAAAGGATATGCCCAATGCAGTACATCTCCCGATCTGCTGGACTGCTGGTGGTGTGAATTGTGGATCGTGGATCCAAGTAAGATGAAATCATTGGTTTTTCTCCATATATCATGTTCCCATATATTATGTCTTTTCTCCATCTATCATGATATTTCATTGTTGTTGTTGTTGTACATTATGCTACCAAGCCCAAGGTGGATGATTTTAATCTGCAGCCCTCAGGCCTGGTTCAAATTGGTTTTCTGTTAAATATTCTTCTAGGTGGTAAAGCACTGGTCTGTGCATTGCTGTATGGAGGTACCTCATGGGTACTGTGACACTGATGTGTCAAATGTGATCATGGTTACCCATGGTGGACAGTGTTTGGTGGAGCTCCCTGATTAAAACAGGCTTGGAAGCAGGAGTGGCATCCACTTCCAAAATAGCTTGCCTCCAGAAACTCTATAAACAGTGCTCAGGCCTCTCGTTCATTGGGTCACTGTGAGTCTTCTATGACTCGATGGCACCTAACAACAACAACAACATTCATGATATTGCTTTTGGCCCAGTGGTGAGGATTTTTGTCTTCTTGATGTTGAGATGCAAGCATTTCAAATCTTCCTCACTTTCAGCAAGCTAGGTTATCTTAAAATAGAGTTATGGTATCGGGGAAAAGGTACTGAAAAAAAAAAAAACACACAATTCCAATTCTACTCCACAAAACTAGAGGTGAAAGAGAAGTTCTATTTCAACCAGAAAGATCTGCACAGTGGCCAGTCTGCCAGAGTTTATAAGAATCCAGAAGGAATTTGAAAAGCTTCATGGATACAGCCCAACCCACTTCACCTTTGGAAGATAAAATGGCTCATTTGCTAGGGCCTTCAAAGAAGGATCCTTCTGGGAAACTGGGGCTTTGGGGTGATGGTCCTTGATGACTATCCCTTTAAGGAAACCTGGACTTGAAGAAACAGCCTTGATTGACACAACCTTTCAAAGAGGCCTAGAAAGAATTTGTGATGATAAATTGTCTGCGGTGAACTCTGAAGAGCCTTTACCCTTTCTCCGAGCAAGTCGTCTGTGTACGTCTTGACACATCTCATCATCATCATCATTATGTCTGCAACTGTCCCCAAGTAAACAGGAATTCGAACTCACATTTCACAGTTTTCAGTCTGTATTTCTGCATATCATCTGAGCAAAATGTTCACCTTGCCTGGTGAGAAACTCAAACTTTTCTCCTTCCTCCCCATAATCTACCTGGGATTATGACCCAGAATAAAGGTCCATGGGCGGGGTGAGAGGGGCACATTCAACAGCTAACTCAAAGGCTGGCTGTCTGAACACATCAAGGGGTACTGAGGAAGAAAAGCCTGGCAGCCTGATCCATAAAGATCGTGTCACTGTTATTGCTGGCAACCCCATGTCTGCAGAGAGGAGCTGCTCTGTGGGGCTTTCCAGGCTGTGACCCTTCCACAGTAGATTACCTGGCCCCTCTCAGTGTGAACCCCTAGACCTTAAGCTTAATCATTGTACGACCTGGAGACTTCTTCGGTAAAGGTCACAACAGAAGTGGTGTTAGTTGCCATTAGTCAATTTCGAGTTACAGGTTACGAGCAGAGCGGTCGGTGTCTCATAGGTTTTCTTGACTGTAATCTTCAGAGCAGTAGATCCCAGGACGCGTCCACACGACCAAACTTGCCCTCGGTCTAAAACAAACCTGCAGCCGTCAAGCCAGCCTTACCTCATAAAGACCCCAACACCAAAAACATTTTGCTTGGACAGGTTTCACTTTTAGGATGAGAGAAATTGGCCCCATCCATCGACCTTTGACCTCTTCCCGCCATCATTTGACATTGGGGTGAAGATGGTGAGCAGGCCCCTGAATATATGATAAAAACAAACTAAAAACCAGGCCTGTGGCCTTTGAGTCGATCACCATTCATGTTGACCCCTTGGGGTCAGAGTAGGTTAGGTTCTGACATATTGGAAGCAGATGGCCAGGCCTTTCTTCTGAGGTACATTAGAGCTCTGGCCTTCTAGTTATTAGAGGAGCACTTATCCATTTATACCACCCATGGACTCAGTGGATACATGATGGACCATGATATAGATGCTGTGTAGATAGACCATTGGTTGCCTTTGGAATTCTGAGAAACATAAAGCTCAAAGCTTGTAGGACAGCGAACAAAGCTCTTGTCAATTGACTCCTTCTGCAAGTAATCAGAAATCATTTCTTGCAGATATGTCAGCTCTGGATACTTAGCCTCCCAGCTGCTGTTCCTTAAGTGGCAAAGGACTCTGGAAAAGTTATATTAGGCCTTCAGATTCCCTGAATCCAGGAAAGGAACTGGCTCTTTGTCAGGCGCTGGTTATTTTGTAAACACTG